CTAGACCGTGTAAAGGCTTTGATTTCTATAGTTTGTGTTATCACATGTACGGTCCTATAATATATTATATTATTTATTTACGTCGCCTAAAGAGACGTTGTTCCTTCATATGCCAATTATTGCGAAGAATATTACTAAGGCCTCGGTAGTCTAAAGGCTCAGGACGCTCGCACGGATTGCAAGAGATCCGGGTTCGACTCCCGGCCGAGGTAATATTTTTCGCAATAAGAATTAATTATTTACAGTTTTTAATATGTTATTCATCATTATTAAGATCGTTTAGAAGATGCGAATAAGCATCAAAAAATAGTTAAAAATTGCTAGTCAATTTTAATTCGTGATATTACTGCGGTAGTTTAGTAGAGTTAGCGTTTCAAGACCGGAAATTTTTCGGCGCGCGTTTCTGTGGGACTACATACGTAGTATATAAATTCACATAAGAATCATACAAGCATTAAGATCCAGCTAGACCGTGTAGTAATTTTGTATTTTAATTTTATTTTACTGATTTTACTGACAGCTACAAATTAATCCTACCTTTTTATATAAAATCTTTTTCTGAGCGGCGTGTGTACTTGGCGTACTTTTTTTATTTTTTCTTAGAAGATATACAAACAAATCTGAACTATGTGTGGTCTCGTAAGATAACCCATATATATTATTGATGCCGGCTAGTTTTTGGAAAACAGAAAACCTACTTTTAAGTACTAGCGTATACTGTTCAGTCATAAAAAGATAGATCTACGATTTTATTACGAAAATTTGATGCCAATAATCGAATGTTACAGTGCGTGAGTCCGACGGATTGTGATATTATACGGGAGTACGGCTGCGCGGTTGTGGATTGTAGTTGGGCGCGATTGAACGACACTCCCTTCAACAGAATGAAGACGTCTCATCCTCGCATACTGCCATTCTTAGTCGCTGCAAATCCAATAAATTATGGAAAACCTTATCAGCTGAGTTGTGTAGAGGCTATAGCAGCTACTCTGATTATAACAGGATTTCCGAACGAGGCCGAGCTTTATCTCGGAAAATTCTCATGGGGACATTCGTTCTTGGAGCTGAACAGCGAACTATTGGAAAAGTACACTCTTTGCACAAGCAGCGAAGAAATAATTACGGCACAAGAAACGTACCTAAAGAAAGCCTGGCAGGAGAAATTAGATAGGCTTAGTAAAGATTTTTTCTAATCTTTTTTTTTGTCCTTTATCAATGATTTTTGCTTTAATATGATTGTATGCTTCTTCTTAGCGCTTCCTGATTTTCCGGAAAACAATACAGAATCCGAAGAAGAGGAAGAAGAGAAAGACACAAATACAGTCTTAAAAGTAACTGAGGGCCTAGGCAATATAAAAGTATAAAGTATAGTCCTTAAAGGTAGTTGACTTTTTAACGAAATTCTTGATTTTGAATTTCCAACCATTACGATTTAAAAATATACAATAAATTTCTAAGACTTGTAAAAAGACATAATTGCCAAATATGAAATGTAGAAGGAATGTGTACAGATTGGAAAAGACTTGGACTTAAAAAATATGTAAAATCTGAGTAATTCGTCATAGATAAAATCACATTTAATGGCAATTTGGCCATCAATCCGCCGAGTTTATTTGAGACGGCCTAGTGTTGCCAGGTCTGTTCGAAAGTTATGCCCATATGTTTCTCCATATTTTAAATATAATTTGGATATTTCTTTGTATTTTCCTCTCATTTTTGTAATCCCAAAAAATCTCTCGATGAAAAGAAAAAAAATTCCTAATTTAGAGGAAAATCTCCCAAATAAAACAGTAAGTCTGTTCGCGTTGCATACACTTTTTGCACTTGGCATCTTCGCTTTCTCTCTTTTCAACGTCCAAATTCCTGTTTAAGGAGGTTCATACACTACTTCCTAGTCAATAGACAGTTTATTCATAATAATACGTAAAACAATTAAAATAATGGAATAAAAAGATTACTAACAATATCTTATGCCATTATTATACATATTATTGTTAATTTTATATGTTACTAAATATTTTCAAAATGACAAGATAAAACAATATAAATCAGTGTTGTTAGATTAGCCCCCTTTTAGCGCATGCGCATTAGAGTATAGCATCAATGCTGTACTAATGTCGAACTTATAAAGGTTCTATAAGGTCCTATTTTGACGTTTCTGTAAAAATTATATCATTTTTTGTTTTTTTGTTATTATTTATTATTAAAAACCGAAGTAAAAAAAATCAATAATAGAAGTGACGAGATTATAATTTGGGCCGCGGTCCGATTCACGCTCACAGTTCTATCAGTGCTTATAACATTAATGGTCGGTCCGAAACAAATAGCGTGCTAAAGTTTTTCTATTTTGGACCGGTCGTAAGCACAATTTATAAGTTAGAAAACGTAACCTGATGAAAGGCAAATGGAAAGCGTATGTATATATGGTTCGCATAATAGAAGAAATAATATCAAGAATATGAGTAAATATTAAATACTAGAAAAAGAAAAAATTAGGAATAGAGATTAAACGTAACGCACAATAAATACAATTAATAAAATATGGTTCACAAAATATGTATAATATGTCTCATATCCTATTTGTATCTATTAAGCATTTACACATTCATTTCCTTTAATTTTTTATTTCTAGTATTTAATATTTATTCCTATATTTGGGAAGTTCTTAATTTTTTCTATTATATGCAAGACTTATATTATAACCTAAAAAGATAGATATCTCACCCGACGACCCTAACGCAGCCGTCTTGTCGTGTTCAGCTTGCCCTTTCTTTCTGAAATGTTCGAAACCGTTATTTTTTCCGCATTTTTGACGTCACGTAATCATGACGCTCACGGTGCCTCACCTGTCATCTAGGGGCACTCTAAGCACCGTGAGTGCTATGTAATTATGACGTCACTGTGTTCACACTGGCGCTGCAAGCACGAAATGGACCAACCATAAGCAACCGTGAGCGCACTAATCACGCTATAAGCGTGAATCGGACCGCGGCCATAATATGAAGTTACATAAACTGAAAACGCCAATAATTGATAACAATAATAACATAACAACAATAACAATAATTAAGACTGTCCATCTAATTTAGTGTTACACTGTAAATATATGTTAAAGGTGTAAGATTCCTAAATAAATAAACAGAAATTTATAATAGATATAATATTTTATTTGGCAGAATTATAACGAATACCAACATTTGTTGCAAGGATAAGGGAAACTGCCAAAAACCTTTATATGTATAAATATTATACAATATAACAAACAAATAATATAGTAGGCTAATGAGAGTCAGCGTCGATAAATGACGCAAATGTTATAATAATCAATCAATACTCAAGAAATGGATTGATGTCTTCTTTATTTGAACAAAGCATTGCGGACATGTGAACTTATTGAATTGTATCATTCTTGCTGAGGAGGACTCCAAAGAGAGTTGAAACGTTCAAATAAAGAAGACATTAATCCATTTCTTGAGTATTGATTGATTATTATAACATTTGCGCCGTTTATCATCGCTGACTCTCATTAGCCTACTATATTAATTGTTTGTTATATTGTTTAATATACGAGAATCCTAATAATATTATTATTGTTTTTATAAATATTATTTTACTTACATCTAATTGTCATTCTGGCCGGATCCCACCAAAACTATAGGACTCTTTTCTCATCCTCCGTAATGACTGTTATACATTTCTGGATTTCTCCAGCGCTGCAGTGCGCATGCGCTAAAAGGTGGCTCATCCAACAATACTGATATAAATAGAGCTATGTTGAATCAACCCAGATAGCATAAGGACGTCCATTGTACGTCCATTGGACATCCGTTTCTGGACGTCCACAGGAAGTCCAAATTATGTACGTCGAACACCCTATGAACGTCCATGGGATGTACATTTGTCACAACTTTGTACGTCCATAGGATGTCCGAACACATCCAATTTTGGACCTATTATGGACGTGTTATGGACTAATTTTGGACAATTGAAGACCTTGCTGCAATATTAGTAATTACGTACTATATGACCTTTTTAAAAAAAGGTAAAAAAAAGGCGCCAAGTGTTTATGTACCTTCCATAAAAAACTGTACTTTACATAACTAAAAAAAAACCGTTACATAAATAATATAGTTCAAGTGGTAATATTTTGTTAACTTTTTATTATAAATTACCCCTCAGTAGTACAT